GGGGGGGGGGTGTCTGAGTACTGTACTACTGTTTATTCCGGTTGCAAAAATTGACGACTTTTCTACTCGATGTACCGTTTTATCTGATCTTAATCTCGCATATCTTATTAATTTCTCACTCAAATATCCTGTATTCCGTTAATTTTTTACCTTAATATCCCTTTGACTTCTGACCTTTGTTGCTGCCTTACATGCTAGCAGGCATAAGGGCAGTAACTAGGTAATCCTGTAACCAGAAAACTTCTAATAAGTCTTCAATGTTCGGTCCTCTAGAAAAATAACTTTGGCTTTGTTTGTGTCGAACAGTTTGCAAAGTTACTTACTCTGTGGGCAGCCATATACTTCTACTCTCATTGAAATGTGTCCATTCCATTCCTGTGGTCTAAACCTTAGATACATGGCTTCAAACACTCTGACTTCATTTCGTACTACCGTGTCCTGGTCAGTGTTACCAGTGAGAGTCTGTAAAACATTAAAATGACGTTGTGTAAACGACGTAGTACATTTAATGCTGATAAAAGTAATTTTATGACGTTTTCAGTAACTAACGTATCCTCATTTTTACTTCGACCAGACACTGGCGCTCAAGACGTCCACTTTTCAACGTCTTCAGCAATTCTAATCTATGTCTAAGTTGACGTTGAAGCACTTTTCATTTGAGTGTCGAAAATTTATTAGTTTTGCATTACTACGCTACACGATTGGATTAAAAGACTCGCGCGATTTTTCATCCAACCAGAACTAAAACCAAAACCAATTGTCACTCACACAGACACTCACACAGGCTTTCCGGCGCTTCGCGTTTACTTTGAGTTTTGATTAGTTCACTGGATTGTATGTGTTCTTTGTGATCGGTCAGAGTGATTACTTTGGTTTTGGTTTTACGACACTCACCTTAAGACTGCTCGATCAAGTTAGTGATAATTAACTAGGTAATTGACTTGGACGCTGACGTAGCACAATTAACAGTTTCCTTTCAAATCACATGCAATTTCAAGTATCTTTTTTCCTTTGTAAATCATCATTAAAAGAATTTTGAAAGTACATCTTACGTCTGGATAGTAAGTCCAAGTTGATCCGTCAGTACTGTATTCCAGTTTGTAGCTCTTCACCCACTGGGCATCGTCTCCTCTGCCTTGAGTGGCCGCACCAGTAATCTGGAAAATCTGGTTAAACTTGATTTGGAGATACTGGTTCTGGTCGTTAGTCAAGGCAGACCAACCTCCGATCTGAGTGGTGACCCCCTGAGAAGTTATCTGAGCTTGAAAATTCAGGCGACCTCCTAGTGGCGCGTGCTGGGAGCTGTATTGACTTGATGCTGTCATATCAGCGTCAGGAATACGCTTGCTTGTCGAGACTCCAAGGCTTTTAAGACAGTCTACACGGTAATAATCATAAGGAAGGTGGAGAGAAAACAAGTAATTCAAAATTATTCTTGACCTATCACTTCTCGGTTCACCATTTTACTACGCCATTTTTCAAATATTCATTCCATTCATCATGAATAATAGTGAAATATTCATTTCATCTATTCAGGTCTATTAACGAAGCACTTGCCTTTGGACGACTGGCTATTACTGCTTTTTATCAGACCAACCCTACTTGTCTAGCATCAAAGGCTTAAGCCAGTTTAGTCAAAAACGACCATTTAGCATAAATCAGTCAATCAGCCAATCAATTTAGTAGTGTCAAAATGTGGGTGATGTTGTCCTCTATATCTGAGTCAGATACTCATGTATAAAGCGATACACAATAAGTAAGAGTAAATAACCAAAATTAAAGAAGGCTCAGTTACAGTGCCATGTTTTAACCACCAAACGTTAGACCAATAACAGCATACGTTAACACCTGAAACTACCTGCCTGTCGGGAACATAATGCATTAATTAGCTATAGGTATGTTTTACTAACTCAGCTCGTAGTAATTATAGCTTGATGAACTTGTCAGATCACTGTCAATCGTTGATTTGCTGCTCAAGTAACATGTGTTGGTTGAGTTATCAAAATCAAAAGACCTGCAGATGAAAGAAGCTTCCGACGAGCATGATGACGCGCAGGCTTCCGGGGACGAGTTATCCACCGTTTTGGCATCGTTTCCAGATATGTAGGACTTGTAAGTCAGGGAGTATTTCCTCTGCTCGGCGGCAACTGAAAGAGATTGAAAGCAAGCGACGGCTTTGCATTATTGTTCTCTTGAAGCTTGCTGTTGGCTTTGGCTACGTATTTGAGCAAAGGCACAGGGTCCCTTTCTAACCAGGCATACAACTGGATCAACACCAGTGAATTGTTGTCGATGCCTAATGACAAGAATATCATTCCATAAGCGAATAAGGATCCTCCTTATTGGGTCACTTCTATTCTATATCATTATAAATCTACTAGA